CTGGGGGACCCCCCTGCAGGGTACGGGGCATGGGGCTGGGGGACCCCACTGCAGGGTACGGGGCATGGGGCTGGGGGACCCCACTGCAGGGCGTGGAAGGGGGAGTACCTGTGAGGGAGCAGGGGAGATCTGGGGGGTACCCTGGAGGGGATTGGGGATCTGGGGGGCGAGGAGGGCTGGGGAGGGGTCATGGGGGGTCCAGGGCAGGGGGCTCATGTGTCCAGAGGCTGCACGTGCTGGGGGGTGGTTGGGGAGAGGGTGGGTGTTGGGGGGTTCAGGGAGGCTTTGGAGGCTCCTGACAGTGCCCCCCCAGTGGAGTTCCCAGTGCCCAGGAGTGAGGTGGTGCAGATGGGGGGTGTTGGGGTGTGCTGGGTGAGGACTGAGGGGTGGGGGGGCTCTGGGGGGTTTTGAGGGGCTCTGGGCAGGTCTGATGTGCCCCCCCACAGTGGAGTTCCCGGCCCCCAAGAGTGAGGCAGTTCAGCGCTTCCCCGTGTGTTACCTGGGCTGCGTCCCCGTTGCCAAGCCTGTGGGTGAGTGGGGGGCTCAAGGGAGCTCCCCCCCGGCCTCTGGGGGATGCTGTGGGCTGGGGGCACCCCCAGGGCTGCCCTGACCCCTCTGTGCCCCCCAGGCATGGACGTGATCAACGCGGCGCTGGAGGCAGCACTGGCCCCCGGCTCGGGGGAGCCCCCCGCACCCACCCCTGTCGTGGTCAGTGTGGCCCCCGCCACTCTCACCATTGCCCACCGCCAGGTGCGTGCCCACCTGGGACCCCCCCCTACCCTGGGGGGTCTGTGGTGACCTCTCCCCACTCTGAGGGGCTGCAGTGACCCCCCTTTCTGCCCTGGAGGGCTGTAGTGACCCCCCTCCCACTCTGGGGACCATGGTGACCCCCACCCCACTGTGATAACCCCGTCCCACTCTGGGAAGCTGCAGTGACCCCTACCCACACTGGTGACCACCCCCAGATGGTGACCCCCACCTGCACTGCTAATGCCCTCCTGCTCTGGGGGCCTCAGTGACCCCATTCCCTGTTGGGGGGCTGCAGGGACCCCTCCCCGTACCACGGGGACACAGTGTGTCCCCCCCACTCCCCGGGACCTCGGGGATGCCCCCCCAGGCCGGGGTGCGGTGCTGACCCCCGCGTGCCCCCCAGACGGAGGCGGTGCTGTGCGAGTGCCGCGTGCGGTTCCTGTCCTTCATGGGGGTGGGACGCGACGTCCGCGCCTTCGCCTTCATCATGGCCAGCGCGCCCGGCACCTTCCGCTGCCACATGGTGTGGTGTGAGCCCAACGCCGCGGGGCTCAGCGAGGCGCTGCAGGCCGCCTGCGTGGTGAGTGGGACCCCCGAGCCCCCGGTTCCCCGTGCCCCCCGCTGCAGGGTGAGCGGGACCCCCGGGCCCCCCTTCTCCCCTGCTGACCCCCCTTCCCCGCAGCTCCGCTACCAGAAGTGCCTGGACGCGCGGCCCCAGGCCTCCAGCTCCTGCCTGCCGGCCCCCCCGGCTGACTCGGTGGCGCGGCGGGTGGGCTCCTCCGTGCGCCGGGGGGTGCAGACCCTCCTGGGGACCCTCAAACCGCGGCGGGGAGGGGCACAGACCCCTTGAAGGGGGCGAGGACACGGGGGGCGCGAGGCGGAGGGGGGGGCAGGACGGCTGACCCAACGCCCCAGGGCACAGAGTTCCCCGTGGTGTTGGGTTGGGGGTCCTGCCCCACCCCCACTGCCCCCGTGGTGGGTCACACCCCCCTCACCGTCCCCAATGCATGCGGCGTAACGAGGGTCTGTGTTGTACTAAATCATTAATTAATAAACCCATTCCACCAGCCCGGCTTGGCTCTGCCTTCGGCCTCGTGCACGGAGGAGGAAGAAGAGGAGGGGTGAGGGTTACGTTATTCCTGGTTTGGTTCTCCCTAGGGTGTTGTGGGGTGAGGATTGGGATGAGGAAGATGAAGGGCAGCGGGGTCCATCACACCTGTATTGGCTGGGTGATGGGAACACGAGGATTGTGTGCTGATCCTGACTCCAATCCCAATCCTGGTGGATGAGGATGGGGAGGGATGGTGGGGCCCACTGTGCCTTTATTGTGCATCTGGTGAGACGCGAGGACCACGTGTGAGTACCGAACCCAGTCCTGGCATGACCATGTGCCGACCCCACTCCCAGTGCGTCCGTGTGCTGACTCCAACCCCACTCCCAGTGTGGCCGTGTCAGCAGAGCTGCCGCTGTCTCCAGAGCTCCTGGATGCGTGGGAAGGGCAGGGCGGGGCGCAGGGGCCGGCAGAGCGCGGGGTCCGCGGCGCGGCCGGAGCGCAGGGCACAGAGCAGGGCGGCCTTGCAGGGGCCCCCGCAGGGCTCGCGGGGCGGGTGCCCCTTGTGCAGGTGGAACCAGAAGCGCTGGAAGAGCCGCTCATCGTCCTGCAGCCGCCGCACCAGCCGGTCCCAGTCGGCCGGGAAGGCCGCGGGCAGCCCGTAGGCCTCGCGCGCCCCGTAGAGCCGCTGCCAGCGGGGGGGAGTCCCCGGGGGGGCCGCGTTGGCCTCCGTCAGGTTCAGGATGAAGGTCTCGTGGTCCAGCACCGCGTGGGAGCTCCCGGGGTAGGAAGCGGCCACCTCGTACACGCGGTACCCTGCGGGGAGGGACTGTCAGTGCCGGGGATTGGGGGCCAGGGGGACACGCGGGGGGGATTGGGGCGCACCAGGGTTGAGGTTGATGTAGGTGGTGACACTCGGTGCCACGAAGGCGATGGAGACGGGGCGTGACAGCGTCTCCTCATCGTAGAACAGCTCGAACTCGTCCAGGTGCGTGTGCCCGAAGAACTGTGCTGCGATGGTGCCCTCGAACCTGCCATTGTGGGGTGAGGGGGGGGCAGCATCTACACCCGCAGCCCCCAACCCGAGCCAGGCCTGGCCGCTCACAGACCCCTTGTCATGGCTCTGCCTGGCACAGGCAGCTTCAGGGTCCCAACCTTGGGTCCTCCAACACCATCCCCTCTCCCCCTCCCATGCTGATGCCACCCCAAGGGGGTCCGGTGTGAGGAATGGGGATCCAGGATACATGGGGTGGGGGGTCTGGCATGTGGGGAGGGGCTTTTGGTCTTTGGTACACAGGATGGGGGTCTAGGACGAGCAGGTCTGACTCATGGAGTGGAGGTCCAGGGCATGGGGTGGGGGTCTGGTGTAGGGGTCCAGCACGTGGGGCATGAGTGTGGTGTGCAGGGCAGAGGTCTCATGTGTGGGGTGGGGGTCCAGGGCCTGTGGACATGAGTCTGGTGTGCAGGGCAGGGGCCCAGCACATGGGGCTGGAGTCCAGGGTGCAGTGTGGGGGTCTGGCATGTGGGGCGGGGCACAGGGGCAGGGGTCTGGCACACAGTGTGGGGGTCCAGGCTGGGTGTGTGTGGGCACTGACCTGCTGACGATGCGGTAGTAGTTCCAGCTCCAGCTGCGCAGGCAGTGGGCCGGGGGGATGTGCCCAATGATGTGCACCTGGGGGCAGGGACCCAGGGCTTGGCAGTGCCCAGGAACCCCGGGACGCCCCAATCTCCCCCCAGAATTCCCCCCTCACCTTCTCCCCATCACGCTCAGCGTCTGCCAGGACCCCCATGAGCCACTGGAGCTGCCCCGCGGGGTCAGTGGCATTGATGAGGAGCCAGAAGTTGGCCTGGGAGCAGAAGTTCATGTTGAGGGAGACGAGGCGCAGCCCGGGCCAGACCTGCGCTGTGTAGAACCCACCGGCCCTGCAAGAAAATAGCGGGGTCAGTGCTGTGCCCCTGCCCCACAGACCCCACACCTGTCCCACAGACCCCACATCTGTCCCACAGACCCTCCCTCACCCACGGAACCCCCTCCCCCAACCTGGGTAGAACCTACCAGCCCTGCGGCGAAAGAGGGAGTCAGTGTTGTGCCCCCCAACCCATGGACCCCATACTCGTCCCACAGCCCCCCGGGTACCCACCCCCTCTGCCCACAGCCCCCTGTCCCCCTCAGTTGGAGTCCCCCTTGTCCTTGGCCTGCCAGCAGCTCCCTGCACCCCAAACAGCCAGGAACCCTCTCCTTGCACCTCCTCTATGCGCAGACACCCCCCCCAGCCCTGCACCAGCAACCTGAGGTACCCCCAGCCCCCCCAGCCCCCCAAGTCCCTGCTAGCCTGGGGCCCCCATTGCCCCCTTGCCCTGAGCCCCCAGTAGCCCAGAGCCCCCCACCAGCCCCAAGACCCCCTTTACCCCTGCTAGCCCAGGCCCCCCACCTTGCTCCCTCCATTGTAGAACCCCCTCCCAGCCCT